GGGTGAACAGCCACTCAGATCATTGTAAATTGCTTTTGCTCATACACAGCTGCCTGGCCTGGCTTGTTGGTTTACGGATCACAAACAAGATAAACCGCATGCGCTCGCTATGCTCGGTTAATGTTGAGCTTTGGGGTGCTTTTGTCTGTAAACGCCGTACTTTTTCACTTTATGATGCCTACTGGCACGTTTTAAACAAACAGATGCTAAATGTGAGCAATGTGACATGTTTAGCTACGTAGTTCTTAACTATGTTTGCGTTTTCAGAATGTTTTTTGTTGGCTGTTCCCTCCAGTTCCGTGAAATGGCGCTTGTAGGGAGTTCATAATTGCCTGTCTGCTGCGTCAAACGCAGATTTTTTTTTTTTTTTGTGCAAAGAAGATGGCTAATAATTTTATTTGAATTTTATTGCTTTGCATGAAATCTCAGTCTGGATCGCTTTCTTTCATTTTTATGAACTTCAGGCAGTTTTTTTCCCCCGTAAATTTAGCGTCATTCAAAAAACTTTGGTTGAACATCTTTTACAGTGCCGAGTTGTCACGGTTGTACAATCGGAGGATCCAGATTGTGGCCGCCCAAAACCACGGGTGGGTTTTGAAAAACACCTTATCACGTCCACACAGTTCAAAGTGTGCATGAATCCCTCCGTTTGATGGAGTGCCTGTCCTCATCTGACCGCTTGTGACCCGAAGCCCCTTTCAGACGACTGTGGGAAAGTGGCCCGGTACGTCGTGTGCCTTATATTCCTGTTTTTGAAATGTGCGAGGAAATCGGACCACGTGGAGAAAAGCAAAAATTTAGGAGAACGCACAAATCTCACAAGCCGAGATTCAAACCTGACACCTCTCACCAAAGACTTTTAAGAAGTTGCCTTGGAAATATCGATGACAGATATTTGCCATTTTTATAGTGGGGGTTTTGGGGGGAAAAATTATTGCTATTGTTGCTCCTTTGAGGAAACACAATCTTTCACACTTTTAGAAAACATTCAGGTCATTTTTTTGTATTATTTTAGATGTTCTAATCAACTACTATTTTTTTAGGGAATTGTATCAATTCCATTAGAAAAAAAAAAACCAATAATAAATTGTCCAGGCTACACAAGTCTTCACTTGTCATCAATCAGTCAATTTTGAATGGTAGGCTAATCACGTTTATGGAAGAAACCTAATTTACAACACGGGCCGCAGTGTACTCAAGTTCCCACTTGTCAATGTCGTCTTGTCACGACAGAGATGTGAGCTACTGATGACTCAATAATATTGCTTTCGGGACATATTGAGAGTGAGGGAAAATCGTTGACGAGCAACTGAGTGGGTGGAATATTTACGGGTTCAGTGGGGCGCATATTCCAAAAAAAAAAAAAAAAAGCAGAGAATAGCTCACTGTGACCATTCCCGTGTAGGAACATAACACATCGTCAATAGCATGTGAAAGAGGCTGTGAGTAGCGCCGGTCCATTTGGAAATAAACATGCAAAGCTTAGTGGGAAATCATCAGGGAGATGTTTGTTTGCCCCCTCTGAAATGTTTGGAATGATCACCACCTGCCTACTGACTCAGTCCATTTTCTAGCGCTGTGCTCTCCCCTGAAGTGGTCCCCTCTGATCGAGTTAATGAACAAATTGGTGACCCAACAGAGCATTCACATGCTGGTGCCGAGCTTCGATGCGCTGGAGCAATACAAAGACGGCTTCTATACAACCCGGCCGCATTGTCAAGGAACAAAGCTGCGCGCCGCGTTTTACCTCGGTCTGCCTCACAATTTAAAGTTCTGGATTTCAATCTCGGCTCTGCAGCGGACTTTGCGGCATCATCTCCTCTTGTGTTGGTTTTCTGCCGCTTTCCTTCTTGAGCTTCGAAAACATGCGTCATGGATACATTGTGCCCCATTTTCATGCAAATCAAGATCGTTGATTACATTTACATGTTTTGGCAGCATTGTTATTGTTTTGTCTGCAGGATTGTCTTGTGCGAAATTATAACCAATTTGCACACTTGAACCCACTTCGGTTACCAAATGTGATTCTTTTCACCTCACAAGACAGCAAAAATGATCATGCTCTGTCATTTCCAGGATGCTTGCTCTCGAGCTCTCTACACAACTTTAGACAAGCCCATTTACATGAATAGCAACAAATAGATAATAATAGATGTTCTGACAAGTTTGCACATTTGCCATTTGCGAAAAAAAAGCCGCTTCGCAGCGAAAAAGACAGCAAAAACAGCATTCCTTTCGATGTAACCTTGGGTCTTGGTGCTTATCAGCAAACTCTTTTCCATTTTTATTGTGCTGAGGGCTCTCTGACAACTGTGACAGCTTTGCCATATCTTGGAACATTTCCTATGGCTGAACAGTACTTCAAATTGATTTCTTTGCCCATTCTTTGGCTGACACCGTGAGCCATCAACCCACAACAATTTTCTGCTCTATCGCCAGGGTGTGCGTGTGTGTGCGAGTGTGTGTGTGCGTGTGTGTGTATGTGTGTGTGTGTGTGTGTGTGTGTGTGCGTGTGTGTGTGCGTGTATTCAGTAAATTGTCCTTGGGCGTTGAAGTGAGTGTGAGTGGTTGTTGGTCGATATGTGCATGCTAGTGGCGAGCTGGCGACCACTCCAGGGTGTACATTGGCTCTCATGAATGTACTGCTTGTCACTATGCATCGCTGGCATAGATAGATGAACAAAGCACTCACACTCACGCCCAGGAACAATTTCGAGTGTTCCATTAACCTGTCATGCATGTTTTTAGAATGCGGGAGGAAACCGACAGAGGCACGGGGAGAACGCGCAAACTTCACATCGGAAGGCCGGATCCGGAATCGAACCCTGCACCACTGCACTGTGAGGCTGATGTGCTAACCAGTCGACATGTGTGTTTATATATATCATCTATTTTCATCACCATTTATCCGGAACAGGGTCGCAGGGAGTTGCTGGAGCCTGCCCCCGCTGATTTTGGGGGGAAGGCAGGCTACACCCTGAACTGGTCGCCAGTCAGTTGCTGGGCACAAATAGAGACAAACAACCGCTCACATCCACATCGTCACCGAGTGGGAACCCATCCCACACTGTCTACACACAAGTCAGGTTAGTGTACCACTACACACTCTCTAGGCACTAAGACCTCCTGCCAAGAGTCTAGGAGCTCATTATGGGCATAGTTACATTTGGGGGGGGGAGAAAGATCAATAGTCAGTCATAAAGCAAGCTTTTCCCTCTAAATGAAGGAAAGCACAAAAATGAAAATGAACCAGAGCAAAGAGGCACATGTCCTTCTGGTCTCCAAAATAGTCCTTTCCATCATCCCCTTAATGCTTTTACCCAGACTCAAAACTGCACACGACAACAACCGCGCTTGTTTTGTGCTTCCATTAGTGTTAACGAAGACCCTGAAATTGTTTTTTTTTTACCTTTGAAAACAGGAATCAATCAGAGCATTCATACAAGAACCACTAGTGTGGTGCTTTTACTCTGATTTTCCCCGAGTACATCCCTTATGGAGGCCTAAAAATACACAAGAACAAAGTCTGTTGCGACCACTTCTTCAAAAGGGACTCTAATGGGATGAGTTCGCATGTGGAACTTTTCAAATGTCATGTCTCAGAAGAGTTATTAATAAAGCAACTAGTGATTGAAATTAGCATCGGCAGGTGTGAGGAAGGGCGCGAATGGTTGGAGGGTGCGCGGGGTGACATGAATTGGGGGGGAGCGGGGGACAAGAGGAGAAAAAGCTCGGCGCTGTGACTCATTCTATCTCGTCCATTAGTTGGCGACATGCAACTGAAAGGCACAAAGGAGCCCGCTAATGCACGGATAACCTGGAGGTCTGTCTGCGTCTCTTTCTTTGTTACCTTCTTGCTCTCTCGTTTGCATCCACTCCGACGCTGCACGTTGCACCATTTCTACCTGCTCCTTTCTCCTCCTCCATGTCTGCGCCTATCAATCCGTGGCCAGAATCGCTCATCCCAATTGACATATTTGCCAAGGTTCCCGGCCATTTCGAGACGAGGTGGTTACTTTTTAGGGTGGGAAATGATTAAAATTCCCCGTTCTGCATATAACATCCCACGGGTCATAAACGTTACTCGATTAATTCCTTATAACCCGAGGAGATTCATTAGTGTTTTATCACCGTACGTTCTGTGGCCGCTTGATCAAAATGCGTTGATCTAAGCTAGCATGCCCATAAAGTTTGGTTTGATGTGTGAAAGGAGAGAAA